CCCCCCCCCCCCCCCAGGAAAACCACCGGGCTCATCTTGCTTAATGATGGGAAGACGAGCCTCTGAACCCCCAGCCAGGGGTCTGCCCGACACGGCCTTGTGAGAAGCTCTCAGGAACAGAGAGCACCCGTACCACCGCCCCCCGGGCTAGGGGTGCTCGCCAACGGGACCGCCCGCTCCCCCGTGTTTGCAGGGGCGCCCCCGCGGTGCTGGAGGGTCTCCGGGGGCTTAAGCGTCTGGGTGGCGGCAGGGGCTTACGTTCCAGTCCAGGGAGGTCACGTCTTTATTACTGGGGACGTCGTGGCCCCCTTCTCGTATACAGTGCCTCAACACGAGCTGCGTGGAGCCCCCGTTGCTGTTTTCGTTAAGGTTCCATATCCTTGCCGTTGAGTCTCCGGATCTGCAGAATGAACACGCACCTGCACTCAGCGTCCGGGTCCAGTGGAAACAAAGCCCGTCAGACTTCCGGGCGGCCTACGTCCGCTATCTCTGGCCCACGGCCTGTGTCTTCTTAATCACGCTCACTGGCCGTGTTTTCCTCCTCGCCACTTTTGCTGCTCTTAGTAATTTAACGTGTCTTTGCGCTGCTCTCCACGCCACTGAGAACACAGCGTGGAACGAGGACTCCCTCGCAACCCGGGGAAGAGAGCGGCACAGAGAGCCCCAGGCCTTGCTCCGCACACAAAAGAGGGGAGCACTTACTCCATGAGGCACAGTTCCGGAAAGCATGTCGGACCCCACGGGCCCTGCAGCACCCACCACCTGGCATCCTTACCCTGAAGCTAGGAGATCGCTGACAGGGTTCCAGGCACAAATGAACACCTCGGACTCGTGGCCCCGAAGGACTGTGGCTTTGTTGGGTGGAATCTCAACGTCCCCGTCTATTTCCATTGGTTTCGAATGATTATCTGTCACAAGAAATAGGAAAAGACATGTGGTGACCAGTATAAAAGCAGCGCATTCTTGGGGGCACTTGAGTCTTAGAAAACACCTTCTTTTCGTGTACTTAGTTCTATTACCTCTGACGACGGTAACTGAATCCTGCTTTTGTGTCATGTAGTAAATGTGTTGCGTTTTCTTAGCTCAACGCTCTCCAAGTTTGATAGAGAAATACAAATTTATTTCTTCTTCCTAATTAGGGCCAGGCTAATGTCTAACCACCACCACGACACCGGGGAACAATGACGACAGCCAGCTAGAGCCTGAAGGTTGCTCTTTTCCAGATGGGTGACACGTGTTATCTGCGAGCACCTTTTGGAGGTATCACCTTTTTTTTTTTTTTTTTTTAAGTTTATTTATTTTGAGGGAGAAAGCAAGCACAAGTTGGGGGCAAGGGGGCAGAGACAAAGGAAAGAGTGAGAACTCTAAGCAGGCTCCGCACGATCAGCACGTAGCCCAGTGCAGGGCTTGAACCCATGAACCGGGAGCTCGTGACCTGAGACAAAGTTGGACGCTTAACCGACTGAGCCACGCAGGCGCTCCTGAGTATCACGTCTTTGTCTGTGAAGCTCCTACCGGGAGACGCCACCATTGTTGCGGAATGCCCGCCACCCCGCACCCCTGCCTGCAGACACCCTCGTATTCGTGGGGGCCCGGTGCCGTTAGCGTCCTGAAGTCACCTTCGTGTCGGAGTTCTCGAGCGGAGCAGAACCGCCATGCTTTCTAAGCGGACAGGCCTGCCCCGGATGAACCACGGGATCCGGGTTCTGAATGCCCAAGGAAGCCTGGTGACCGTGGACACCGGCCGTGCTAAATGCCACCTGGAAACCATCCCGGGGGGCGGCTGTTTTCCTCCCGAGCGGCAGGAGAGGAAAGATTCTTGAAGGTCAGCATAAAATACCACCTCAGACACCACGGTCTGGTTTCAACCTGCGCTGCAGCACGATGACACAAACTGCAGGTGGCAGCAGGCCTCAGGGAATAGAGGGAACGCAGAAGGCGGAGGACAACGTGGCAGGGAGGAGGTGGCTGCGAGCTGTCAGGGATGCTCCCCGGAACGAGCAAGTCAACCCAGAGGCACCCCTGGATCGAAGGCTCTGCGTGTGTGTGGCCAGCGTGCTTTAAGAAGCGTGCATGTCTGCACGCAGCCATGCTCCATTACGTTTCTTAAGATTTAAAAGGAATTCTGTGGCGCCCGGGGGGTCGATCAGTTAAGCATCTCACTTCGGCTCAGGTCGCGATCTCAAAGCTCCTGAGTTCAAGCCCCGCGTCAGGCTCTGTGCTGACAGCTCGGAGCCCGGAGCCTGCTTCGGATTCTGCGTCTCCCTCTCTCTCTGCCCCTCCCCCACTTTGCTCTGTCTCTCCCCCAAAAATAAATAAAATGTGAAAATAAATCAATAAATAAATAAATAAACATAAAAAAATGAAAATAAATAAAAGAAATCCGTGCACTTTACAAGTTGGGAAAACTTCTGTCTTGGCAGACGTACGGGTTTCTTCAAGCTCACCAATTCCAAATCGCTTTCCTTGACGGAAGATTAAGAAACACACACACAAAAACACACTTGGAACTTAGACCCCGAAGCAGTCTTTGAGACCGTAAGCCGCAGATCAGAGCGGAGTCAGGTTCTCTGGGTAGGACCTCGGGCCGATCTGTGAGCTGAACTGTTCCAGCGGATCTCGGCCGAAGCCGCTCGGCACGGGAGGCTGAATGACAGGACCCGTGGCCTCCACAAATGAAACCCTCTTTAGTCACACAGTGCCTCTCGCCGCTGTACGAAAGCAGCTCTCAGAGGAGCCCGGTGCCCGAAAATCAGGGCTATGTGCGTCCAGACCGTCGCATCCAAGGACCTCCCGAAAACGGTGTGAAGCTCTCGCGGGCAAACAGCACGCGGACAGCACGCCTAAGAACGTACGGCGGGCAGATCGCCAAGAGTCTAGCCGACTCACACAGACAGAGCAGAGAAACCGCCACAAGTCTGCCCACCCCCAGAGCCCCGCACGTACTTATCGCGTGGGCTCCGTTCTCCTCCCCGTTCACCGTGGCCTCTCCGTTCTTTGGTGGATGTTGCTGAGCAACGGCTGTCGGGGCCGCCGCAGCTGTCGTGGCCGCCACCGCCGCGGCCGCCGCACTGGCCTGCTGCTGAGCGAGCTTCTCCCGGAAGGCCTGCTGCCGCGTCTGCACCACGTCAGGCATCACCGCGTCGATCAGGGACAGGGACTCTATGGGGCGGCCGTCGAACACCGTGCCATCCTGGGGAGAGAGCACGGGGATGGCC